GATCGTGGCATGGACTCCCGATGGCAAAGGATCCACAAGTACAGGCGGCCTTTGACAGTCTGGTCCACTGGAAACTTGGGGACAAAAGTAAGGTATTGTTTTGGAAAGACAGATGGATGGGAGGTGTGATAGCCACGGAGATAGCTCCGAACATCTGGGGTAAGGTTCGCACGCAAATAGTGAACAAGCGGACAGTGCACGATGGACTGCTCATCCATCGCTGGACCTCAAATATCACAGGAGAGTTATCCACGGAGGAGCTTGTGCAATTCATCAGGCTTTGGGAGATCGCAATTGTTGCACAGCTTAATCCCAATGAGCAAGATGAGGTGGTTTGGCCATGGAATGCCAAGCAAGTATACACTTCGGCCCCCGCCTACCAAATTCTCTTCAAGACCACAAGGTAAGTATATGCATCACACTCATGTGCATGATGATCTCTTGTTGATGTACATATTGTTTGCAAGAAGGACTCATGAACATGAAAGTACACTCCCTGTATCTACATCATTTGCTCTAATGCATATAGCCAAGATACATGTAACTCATTGCTTGCTCTGACATGCTTATGCATTCGCATGCTCTCATATTCTATCTTTACATGATTGCATACATGTAGGGGGATCCAATGCATGTTACATGTCTCTCCAAATCTTTACTTGTTACTCTTCATATCCTTATCTAAAGCTTTAATGTATGTTGTCATCAATTACCAAAAAAAGGAAGATTGAAAGCACAAGTGCTCCATGGGTGATTTTGGTAATTAATGTCAACATATCTCTTGTTGAACTAATATCTTCATCTAGTATATTTTAGAAAATTCAACAATGGCGTGGCATGGACAAGAGCATATGGAACCCCTTTCAAAATGCTAAGGACAAAGATTGGCAAAAGCTCAAGACTCCTCATTTCTATTTTAGTGATCCAAGATCACATTGAGTCCATAGGAAAATCCAATACCATTAAAAGGGATGAGGTGTTGCTTAATGGTCTACTTGCTCAAAGTGCTTAGTGATATGCTCCAAAGCCCTCAACCACTTTCTCAATTTCAAATATGTCCAAAACCTAAAGTCAACTCGGTCCCACTGATTTGATCTATCCGGCGCCATCGAGTTTCTTTGACATAGCCATTGCCAGAAACCCTAATCAATTCGGTCTCACCGAGATGGCCTTGCAAACTCTCTGTTGCCTGTTGCAATTATTTTGGTCTCACTAAAATATGCAATCGGTCCCACCGAGTTTGCCTAACCAACTCTCGGTTTGCTCATTGCTGAAATCAGTCTTACCGAGTTCATGCAATCAGTCACACCGAGATGAGGTTTTGCCCTAACCCTAGCACATCGGTCCCACCGAGTTGATCATGTCGGTCCCACCGAGAATCCTAATGTTCACATTTTGAACTAAATCGGTCTCACCGAGTTCTCCTATTCGGTCTGACCAAGTTGGGTCAAATGTGTGTAATGGTTGGATTTTGTGTGGAGGCTATAAATACCCCTCCACCCCTTCTCTATTCAAGAGAGAGCCATCAGAACGTGCCTACACTTTCACTACTCATTTCCTGAGAGAGAACCACTTACTCATGTGTTGAGACCAAGACATTCTAATCCAACCATAAGAATCTTGATCTCTAGCCTTCCCCAAGTTGATTCAAATCATCTTTCCACCATAGCCAAATCTGTGAGAGAGAGTTGAGTGTTGGGGAGACTATCATTTGAAGAACAAGAGCAAGGAGTTCATCATCATCACACCATCTATTACCTTTTGGAGAGTGGTGTCTCCTAGATTGGTTAGGTGTCACTTGGGAGCCTTCAACAAGATTGTGGAGTTGAACCAAGGAGTTTGTAAGGGCAAGGAGATCGCGTACTTCGTGAAGATCTACCCAAGTGAGGCAAATCCTTCGTGGGCGATGCCCATGGTGGGATAGACAAGGTTGCTTCTTTGTGGACCTTTCGTGGATGGGCCCTCCGTGGACTTGTGCAACCGTTACCCTTCGTGGGTTGAAGTCTTCACCAATGTGGACGTACAATAGCACCACCTATCGGAACCACGCCAAAATCTCCGTGTCTTCATTGCGTTTGCACACTCTAATCCCATCCCTTAACTTTCTTGCAAATTGCATGCTTTACTCTTTCCGCTGCTCATACTCTTGTCATGCTTGCTTGAAATGTATTGTGAATTCTTAAACTTGTGCTAAAACTCCACCTCAACTTAAAGAACTTAAAAACTGCTACTTTTGCTTGTTGAGGGTTTAATCACCCCCCTCTAGACACCTCTTCTCGGTCCTTTCAGTGGGCTAGTGGGCTGTGTAGAAGACCATGGGCTGAGAAGAGAGGGAAGATGGCAGCCTGACAACATATTTTGGAACACCGAAATCATCCGACATTTATCCGGCTATAGTGCCGCTATAGGTTTAACGGTTCGGGCATCAAACGACCTCCGAATGCGACGAGATTTGCCAGGTGGTCTACCTACAATATAATAAGACCGCACGCCAACTTTCAACCCATCCGATAACGTTTTATTCCCACTTACAAAATAATGTTTCTGGAGATGTCGCAGGCGCGTGCGAGTGTGGTTAGTCTGGAAACAATCAACGAAGAGGACGAGGAGAACCGACAACTACGAACGTATGTAAGTTTTGAAAAGAATGATGACACGGAGTGCCGTTGCAATGCGAATGATGCGACAATGAATGCAACAAACAATTGAAACACACGACAACAACGAAAAAAAATGGAAGGCAACTGGAGCATCGGTCTCGAGGCGTCACAAAGAGGACTCGCATGGGAGAGGGTGTCTCGAAGTTCCAGCTATCCACAACATGCGGGTTACATTCATTTTGTGTTTGTCCAGCGACTGCGTGAACCATTTCTTTTGAGAAACACCTGTAACTCTATTCATACTCATAACAATTACATGTATAATGATTTGGATCTAAGATCCAAGAAAACAATCACGCCTCATACAAAGTAAATCCTATGACTAAGAAACAATGAAATCTCTTGAAAACACCTTCTTGGCATCAATCTATGCTCGAAGAAATACTCCAAGGACTTCAGTAAAGAGGAGTTGGTTTTCCCGAAAGCCCAAAAATAAGGCCATAAAAATAGGACTGGGCGTTTCGGCTCCGGGCTCAGAAGAGCCTGGAAGTGAAAAGTAAATTTGCCAAAAAAAGTAAAAGAAAAAAGTTTTTTTAGGTGAAAGATTCTTGAGTTTGTGATGTCCGTGCAAAAATTCAGCGCATTTGAACATCTGACAAACTCTCAGAAAAAAAGTTACAAACTGGGGTATGTGAAGTTTACTATTTTGCACTGTTCAGACCCATTTTTGCTGAGAGCTACTCAGATGTCCGAATAAGCTAAAATTGGCACGGACATCACACACTCAATCATCTTTCATCACAATCTTCTTTTGAATTTTTTGACATTTTTAATACTTTTTTGAATTTACTGTTTCATGTAATGTAGATGAGCCGAATTGGATATTCAATAATAAAATATGTAGGGCGTTTACTATTCACGTAGTGAACAAGCGCTGCAGGGCGTTTTTCTGGGAAGGATGAGAAGCGATCCACGGAGGGAAGTTGTTAGTGGCATGGCAAAGAGTGTGCGGGCCCAAGGAGCTAGGTGGACTCGGGTTGCTAGATTTAAACCGTCAAGGCCCGGCCTTAAGATTGCATTGGAAGTAGCTTAGGCGTACTGATTCAAGCCGATCGTGGCATGGACTCCTGATGGCAAAGGATCCACAAGTACAGGCGGCCTTTGACAATCTGGTCCACTGGAAACTTGGGGACAAAAATAAGGTGTTGTTTTGGAAAGACAGATGGATGGGAGGTGTGACAGCCACGAAGATAGCTCCGAACATCTGGGGTAAGGTTCGCACGCAAATAGTGAACAAGCAGACAGTGCACGATGGACTGCTCATCCATCGCTGGACCTCAAATATCACAGGAGAGTTATCCACGGAGGAGCTTGTGCAATTTATCAGGCTTTGGGAGATCGCAATTGTTGCACAGCTTAATCCCAATGAGCAAGATGAGGTGGTTTGGCCATGGAATGCCAAGCAAGTATACACTTCGGCCCCGCCTACCAAATGCTCTTCAAAGGTGCGATCAAGGTGACCTATGCGAGGTGGCTATGGAAGTGCTGGGCACCCCTCACTTGCAAGATCTTCATGTGGCTCACTATTCAACATAGAATATGGACATCCGATCAGAGGCTTCGTCATGGGTTGCAGGATAACCCCGCGCCATGTTACCTATGTGGCCAGGAGGAGGATAACGTTCATCATCTGCTGGTCCAGTGCGTTACTCGCGTCAAGTGTGGCATAAGATTCTATCCAGCACGAGGACTGCCGCCCTAACACCAGTGGTGAACGACAATTTGGAGTTATGGTGGGGCAATAACCGAAAACGACTTGACAAGGAAAACCGCAAAGCTTTTGATAGTATGGTGATGCTTGTGTGCTGGCACTTATGGAAGCAAATCAATGATCAGGTTTTCCGCTCGGTGGCCATACCAATATTGGTTACAGATCTTGTTAATAAGATTCTAGATGAGCTTCGCACTTGGGCGATAGCGGGAGGACGTGGAGTTGAAATCATTTTGTGAGGAGTTAATGTAGCGTGTTGAGTTGGAGTTTTGCGTGCCCTCAGTCGGCATGTGGCTGTTGACTGTGTACAAAATATTCTTGTATATTGTTTTCTCTCTTTTACTCCCTCCGTTCCGAATTACTTGTCGCAGGTATAGATATATCTAGAACTAAAGCGGAAAGAGTATAAGCTAATTTGCGTACCTCAAAATAATAATAATAAAATATGCGTTTAGGAATGCTTTTGGAGATGCTGTTGGAAACAAGCCAAGTCAACAGATCCAGTCACAGTCGAACCGTTGGCCTTTCCGTCGCAACGCCGTCTTCCCTTCCCCACCCACACCAGTCGAGATTCAATTAACTCATCTCCCAGGCGACACAACGCCGACGAGGAGGTCGAGGCGGCGCCGATGGGTCTGCTGGAGGTGCCGCCGGAGGATACCAACCGTTGCGTGCGCGGATGCTGCCGTAGCGACGCCATCCCGCTCCACCTCCCCGCCGCGTCCTTCTCCCTTCTCTCCCCCATCGCCCGAGGTAACCCCCGCCCCATCCTTCTTTCTCCTCCCCCCCTCCTCCCCCGCCCATTGTTTTGATTTGTGAGGAATGGTGTGTGGCGACGGGGGGAGGGGAAATGGTACGACGATGTGGCGTCACATGAGGCGCCGTGCAGGGGCGGAGAGCACGGTGTACGAGGCGCAATTGGGGGGCGAGCGTGCGGCGGCGAAGAAGCCCGTGTTGTCCACTTCCGACGACCTCGATAAGTTCCATTACCAGCTCCAGCTTCTATGGTCGGTAGTCTCTCTTTCACTACTCCAGCGCGCATGCGTTATTGTCTAACAAATTCCCCATATTCCCAATGGCTGCAAGGGAAGCCATTGCTCAAAATTGATGCGCATTTGCTAGCTTGCAAGAGACGTCTGATTGGGAATTATGGAGAGGATGAGCTAGTGTGCTTGTGCTGCCATCTAGTTGTAGGAGCTAAAAGCTTGGCATAGAAAATTGAACCCAAGTTGTGCGTTCATTAGAGCTCTGCTCACACGACTGGAATAACATTGCAGCATGTTATTCTCATAACGAATAATAAGTTCTATATTGTAGAAAGCATGCAATATTATGTATGGTTCCAAACTGTAATGAAAGGCGTGTTTTGTTAGTGGTTGTTGCCAAGATTTTGGTACGGGGATAGTAGGTACTCTCGTTTTTTGTTGGCAATGTCGTATCGTAGGATCACCGATGTCATGAAATTTGTATATTTAAAGATAATTATTTTATAAATTACAAAATTAATTTATGGAGGACAAATTATTTTAACGGCTCTTTAATTGTATTGTTCTTAGACCATGATGTGTATTAAACATTTAATATTGACATAATACACCTCATGGTCCAAGAACAATCTGATTATTTTTTATAGTGGTCTAAGAATAATATTAAATGCTTAATACACCTCATGGTTAATACCTGATATGTTTCACGATTCTAACGGCGCTTTGATCTCTAGCACGATATGATAGTGGTAGCATCAGATTATGATACATGGCGTGATTCATATCTTTTCTCTCACATAGTATCTTAATATCGTTCAATACTATGTGTCGGGGGATTGATTCTGAGCCATGGGAAATCCTCCAAAAACCCTGGTTCAAGATCTGGGGGCCTGGCTTTGTGTCTATGAGGCTACGAGCTAGGCATGGCGAGGACACAGAGAGTTACCCAGGTTCGGGCCACCTTGCGGTGTAATAACCTACTCCTGCTTGGTTGTATTTGCTTGTGGACTGTGCTCCTGGAGCTACAAGATGAGCCGGAGCTCGAGAGTGCTAGCAATGGCGCTAGGGTTTTGGCAGGAGGCGATGAGCCGATCCCTTGCTATGGTGGCCACACTGCCCCTTAAATAGATGCCTTGGGCCTCTTCCTCGAAAATATGAGAGGGAAAGGGCTACGACAGGGCGGCATTTGAAAGGGGACAGGCGCCGGTGCTTCTCCTGACGAAAGGTGGTCTTTGCCTGCAAAAGGTGCTATCCATGACGCGCCAGGGGCTCCACGATGACCTCCGTCCTGCCGCTCCACCATCTTGGTCTTCTATCAACAAAGGAGAAACCCTTGGGACTTGCTTTGGGGGCAGGTTGGCACAGCTGCTCCCTTAGCACCAAAGGGGAAACTGTCCTGGCCGCGCAGGCTGGCGCCTGCTTTATCAACGTCACCCACGTGACAGGCGGCACCCGCTCTGCAGGCTTCCTCGGGAGGCCTCAAGAGAGGGCGCCTCGCAAGGCCGCCTGTAGTGGTGGTGGAATCGGTGAAGTCCTTCGCGAGAGGGAGCCCCTCGCGAGACTGCTGGCTCGTGGCGCCCGTTGGTGGGCCGCCCTATAACTTGGGCCAAGCGGCCTTTCCTGGGCCGTAGGCAGGTGGCCCGTGGTACCCTGGTTCCCACTGGGCCGACACTATGATCTACATCGTGATAATATGAACTCTGGTTACTGCTGCATTCAACTTTTGGTCAGAAATGATTCTTATATCCTGAAGAAGCTGCTAACATCTTTTAGGATTACTATTAGCTGCTCTCTAATTTCTTGGATTAATTTGTGGATTTCAATTTATATGCAGTGAGCTGGATCATCCAGGGTTGGCGAAACTCATTGCAGCACATGCACGTCCTCCAAATTACTTGATGTTCTTCGAATATTTTGAGCCTCCAAACTTAGCAGACAAGATACATGTTGAGGAGTGGAGCCCTTCTATCCAGCAAGTGGTCACGATTGCCAGCTATCTAGGTCCCAGTTTGTTACAGTTATAGTTTTCCTTGAGTTTGTGTTTAACATATATTACCTCCGTCCCAAAAATCTTGTCTTAGATTTGTCTAGATACGGATGTATCTAACACTAAAATGTGTCTAGATATATCCGTATCTAGACAAATCTAAGACAAGTAATTTGGGACGGAGGGAGTATTATGTTTTCAGCTGTTAGAATAAAGTGTATATCTTGGTTTGAGTTTTATGCAGAACCAGTTTTTTAGAAGCTTGCGTTACCTGCAATTATACTTTTTGTACATAGCTGTAAACGATCACATGTATCTGTTTTCTTGAATATATTTTCTACACGTTTTTTATACATATCTCTTTTCTTGACTCGGGGGTATTTTTAGCAGTTTCATCTGTTAATTCTTATCCAAGGGTGAATACAAAGCCTTTCAGTCCCAAACAAGTTGGGGGTATGCTAGAGTTGAAACCCATAAGATATCGAAACCAAGTCGTGGTTCTGGCACGTGGATAGCTAACTTCTACGCACCCCTGTCCATGACCAAATCTTTGTTGATATTCCAGTCCTTCAGATCTCACCATATCCCAGGGTGAATAAACGACAAAAACTGTTGGTAGCATTTAAGTCCAAATAAGAGAACCTTGTACTTTCACTTGCACTTCTTTTTGACCCTGGTACTTTAGGAAGATTTTTACACATCACTGTGCACACTGTACAACTTTTTTTCTGTACTAAGTTGTTCTGTTATGTTGCTTCAATAACAAGGCAAGTTCATGTAGTACCAAAGTTAAGCAAGAACAGATTCGTTGTAATTTTAAATAGACTTAAACAGAAAATAATGTTCTCACCATATAAAATACAAAGACAATGACTAGATCGACTAAGCAGTGAGGTTAATTATAGGAAGCACCGATGTTTATCTATTTCAGAAATAGTAATGCATGGCTTAATTTTCTTTATTCTTTCTAGGTAACATTATGCTGGATCTAATCAGTGTTGGATGTCAGCTCTTGCAAAACACTTGAATTACCAATTTGACATTGCTTTACACTGTACTGTTACAGCAAAGACTCTCCAATACCTACAAATTCTTGGGATAGTGCACAGAGATATAAAACCAGCAAATATTTTGGTATGTCCTTGCATTTTTCTTGTATCTTTGTGTCAGACAGTTGTCAGACTGTTGAATTACATTCTTTGAGCACATAAGGATTTTCTTATCTTTTTTTAATGCATTGATTTTTCTATAATTCTGTACAGCTAGATAAAGACCTCCTTCCACATCTAGCTGATTTTGGCTTGGCTATGTACCAGAAGGATATTAAAAGTGTTTCAGCTGAGAACTGGAAATCATCTGGCAAGCCTACCGGTGGTTTCTATAAAAAGAATATGGTTGGGACACTAATTTACATGGCACCAGAAATTTTGAGAAAGGATTTACATACAGAAAAATCAGATGTTTACAGCTTTGCAATATCAATAAAGTAAGACATTTTTCTTATGGAATTAATTTAAACCGGCCCTATCCAATTGTTCCTGTCATATAATTACAGTCCATACTACATTGCCTGAAAAAAAATATGAAATCTTTGTATCTATATCCTGTTGACCGAATGCTTCAACTGGTGTCGCTTCTAAGACTGCTCGTTTTATCCACAATTTGACATCTCAGAAGATTTTAGATTAGTGCAGATACCATATCTATATTGGAGGGAGTGCCATATCCCACATAAATCCATGTTGCATATTGTACTTGACGTCATATATCGTGTCAAACACATGTTGGATAATGACGTTAGTGTGGCACTTCTGTGGCATGTCATTAGTGCTGCATTCACACTGTGTTCAGGGGAATAACTATTACTGAAAAATTATGTTATTTCGAGTACCGTGTTCTCTTTTCTTTGTCAAACACATTGACTTTATATTCATTTTTTGTTTGGATATTAAAGTGATGTTATACACATGTCTAATTGAGGTTTCTTGGGTTATATATGTGTATGCCCATTAATTTCGAGGGAAAGTAGGTGTAACATGAAAACAAAACTAAATCACAGTAACAATTAGTGACATTGCAAAAACCATCGGTTTCAAAATCACGTTGCAAAAGATCAATTATGATGAAGCAATATTTTTGTGTCTCCTGGTGTTCTCATCTCTTGGTGCCCTAATGAGATTTATTTGGAGCCAATTTTTTTACTAAATCTCCCATCTCTAAGGGGCTATTCTCATACTCCCCTACCTATTTTCTCCTCTTCCCCTTTTATTTTTCCATAACCACCGGGCCAGGTTTGCCATAGGAATTTGTTGTCATGTTTTAGGCAGATAGTTCATGATAGAGGCGGGGGTGTCCCGATCTTTCGATGAGATGATAACTATCGATTTGGTGAAGATGACTTTGACGATCCGACTACAAACGTGCACGACGTTGCGCCTTAGCAATCGCTAAACCAACTCCGAAAGGTTATTGACCACGCTGGAGCACGATCAACCTGACCACGAAGGTCTATTCCTGCAAGCAATCGAAGAACGAGCAAGAATATGATAAAGCAATCTGAATATTGCGAGTATATATGAAGTATTGATAAATGTGGGGATCCGTAAGCGGTCTTGGTCTGGTCGTTGGACACAAACGAAATACACGAAGTTGCAATGGCTAACTTTTAACTAAACAAATCCCAAAGAAAAGCTACTAGATGGATCTACTTATATAGGAGCAAGGGGTGGCGGCCAAGGAGGTGGGAGGACGTCCCAAGGCAGCCTAAAACTAAATCTAGGTCGTACAAGGCCAATGGGCCCAAGTGGAGGTGATGTAACACCTTTGGACTTGTAGTTTGACTCGGATTCTGCTGCAGCATCAGATTGTTTCGTCCACAACTCAACGCTCCGGACGAATTTGAAGGTGATTCCAATTGGGTTGGAAAGTGCACGAAATCTAGTTTCCAACAAAAAAAGAATCACCCAATTCGGAGTCCGTACGAAAAACTTGTGTGCGATTTGAGTCAGGTGTGTCTGTGCAGTCCGAATCTGAATCCAGAACGTGAGAGACTTGGACTCTATCTTCTCTTGGGCCAAAAGTGACGTGAGAGAACTTTTTGGACAGCAAATAAACATCTCTTGCTTCCTTATCTTCATATGTGGATTGTACAAATGTCCCATACACCTGCAATTAGATAAAACACAAAAGTGTGTGAAGTATTTTTGTTCTGGATAACATAAATAGATTATTGAATAGTTTGCACTAGAAATCACCTGACAAATATGCATATATGCAATATTTTTGGTCATATCTAAGGTAGTCATGTCCTCATCATCCTCCCCTTCTTGAAAATAAAGCCGTCCTCGGCGTTGCTTAATCTGAAATGTGGCTAACAAAAGAGACAAGGTGTACATGTTGTATATGTATATGTCATCCATTTTTACTTCCCTTGATTTTTGCATATATGACACATGAATAGATGAGTAACTTGCATAGTTCATAAAATCTAAAGCCAAAAAATTAGCACAAGAAGTAGAAGGCATGAAAATATTGCAACTCAGTTTGCACATATAAGTGAAGCTCTTATTCATTTCAAAAGATTGACAATGTTCATCATTAAACCATCCCAACATTGGTGAATAAACCTTACTTGCATCAAATTTACATGCTACAACATGCTTAAATAAGCAAACATGCAATAAATCATTCAACACAGAATCATCACCAAGATTAGACGTCATATCAAAATGATTAAACATTGGTTCTTTTGCATCAATAGTTAATTCAATGGGTGCACTCAAAATTGTTGGTATTTCAGTTGTTTGATCACATGGCAAAGTCAAATTATCAACGTAGTCCTCTAAAATAGGTGGTGTGATCAAAGTAGTGGGTAGCTCATCAGATGGTGCATTCAAATTGACAAGGCATTCATCATTCTCATGTAGAGATGGAAGATCAGTACCTTTGTCATTACCTCTTATGATCAACTCAGATGATGTAGCCACTCTCGGGGGCGATGTGTCACATGGTGGAGGTGATGTAGTCCTGACAACAACGGATGTGGTTGTCATAGTATGCCTAGTAGTTGAAGGAACAATCATATCAACTCTTGGAATGTGCACCGTGCGCTTGTTCTCCTCGTGGCCAACACGTCGTTTTATTTCCTGTTCAGCTTTGCAAGCAAGATGAACCAAATGGTCCATAGGATAACACTCTTCATGAATTAGTATCTCTTGAATATCACGGTTTAATCCTCCCCAAAATCTATCCATAAAATCATCTTCACTTTCTTCTAAAGAGGAATGCAACAAGGTAGTTTGTAAATCATCATAATATTTTGTTACAATTTCACTACCTTGTTTTAAGTGTTGCAACTTCTTAATCATGTCACGAGTATAATAAGCAGGGACGAAAGTATGTCGCATGGCAAGTTTCAAATCATCCCAAGTAGTAGGTATATAATCAGGGTGTAACCGACAATATTCACTCCACCAAACCAAAGCATAACCAGTGAAAGAACCAACCGCAACCTTAACCTTTTTATGTTCATCGAAATTATGGGAAGCAAATATATTTTTTATGTCGAACTCCCATTCAATATATAAAGCAGGTTTAAAACGGCCATTAAATGGTGGTATAGATACATTAACCTGATCATGTGAATTTGGATGTTTGTGCACCTGTCGTGACGGTTGTGGTATTTGCAAAGGTGGTGGCACGTCTCCCGCGATCGACAAAGCCCATGAATTGACTCTGGATCCTGTCATGATTAGTAGAACAAGAAACAAAACCCAAAAATAATGTTCCTATAACTACTAGGATGTGGTGGTAAAACGCTCACAGTAAAGCAAATATCAATGTCTTACAAGTTCTTACCATGCAGCAGGCGGTGATCGGCAACCAGCGGTGTCAAGTAACTCCGAATATTGAGTAAAGCGATTGCCAGGGGAGCGTACGTATACACGGTGTAGAAATATGTGGAGCTGGGTTGGCTATATATGGTAGCAAAAGATTAGCAATAATCAATTCAAAGATGCAATGTTAAATAAACGCTCAACGACGGTACTGTGCTGGTCCTAGGCTAGACCGAACTAGAGACGCGAGCCTAGAACACTAATGAGGTCACGTCGTAGCACAACTAGCATCAATGACGGACACTAAGTAGCTCTGGACAGCAAGATATAAGTGAAGATCACAACGGCAATAAAGATAATGAGGTGAAACAACAGCCAAGCAGGATATATCAACAACTTTGTCTCCAACTTTCCTCTGAAAAAGTTTGTGCCGATTTTTTTGTTTTTTTTTTCTTCTCTTTTTTTTCCTCACACTTTTTTTTCTTTCTCTCCTTTTTTTTCTCTGACTTTTTTTTTCTCCCTTTTTTTTCTCTTGTTTTTTTTTCTCTCTTTTTTTCTCCCTCTTTCCAAAACAAACTAGATAAGATGCAGATTGGATCAAGTGAAGATGTGAACGATCTCAACTATTATTATGACAATGAATGATGGGTAGCACGTGGTGGAAATTGATGGATGGGTGGTGGACAGCGGAAGAGATAATGATGCAGCGGTGGCGTGACTAATGTGAACAGAACTCGAAACTCTAAACGAACTAGACACTAAGACCAGCAACTCGACACGACGATGCAACCGATAATTCAACTATGCAAGCAATGAAAAGAAAATTGCAAAGGCTCAGACTGGCTTGGACCAAGGATGAATAGATCTAACTCTTTTTTGTGGCTTTTTCTTGGACAATAGGTAAGAAAATAAATCTAATCTAGGAAAACTGGAAATTCTCACCGAGCAACCTGAAAACTGATACCACTTGATAGAGGCGGGGTGTCCCGATCTTTCGATGAGATGATAACTATCAATTTGGTGAAGATGACTTTGACGATCCGACTACAAACGTGCACGACGTTGCGCCTTAGCAATCGCTAAACCAACTCCGAGAGGTTATTGACCACGCCGAAGCACAATCAACCTGACCACGAAGGTCTATTCCTGCAAGCAATCGAAGAACAAGCAAGAATATGATAAAGCAATCTGAATATTGCGAATATAGATGAAGTATTGATAAAGGTGGGGATCCGTAAGCGGTCTTGGTCTGGTCGTTGGACACAAACAAAGTACACGAAGTTGCAATGGCTAACTTTTAACTAAACAAATCCCCAAGGAAAAGCTACTAGATGGATCTACTTATATAGGAGCAAGGGGTGGAGGCCAAGGAGGTGGGAGGACGTCCCAAGGCAGCCTAAAACTAAATCTAGGTCGTACAAGGCCAATGGGCCCAAGTGGAGGTGATGTAACACCTTTGGACTTGTAGTTTGACTCGGATTCTGCTGCAGCATCAGATTGTTTCGTCCACAACTCAACGCTCCGGACGTATTTGAAGGTGATTCCAATTGGGTTGGAAAGTGCACGAAATCTAGTTTCCAACAAAAAAAGAATCACCCAATTCGGAGTCCGTATGAAAAACTTGTGTGCGTTTTGAGTCAGGTGTGTCTGTGCAGTCCGAATCTGAATCCAGAACGTGAGAGACTTGGACTCTATCTTCTCTTGGGCCAAAAGTGACGTGAGAGAACTTTTTGGACAGCAAATAAACATCTCTTTCTTCCTTATCTTCATATGTGGATTGTACAAATGTCCCATACACCTGCAATTAGACAAAACACAAAAGTGTGTGAAGTATTTTTGTTCTGGATAACATAAATAGATTATTGAATAGTTTGCACTAGAAATCACCTGACAAATATGCATATATGCAATATTTTTGGTCATATCCAAGGTAGTTATGTCCTCATCATCCTCCCCTTCTTGAAAATAAAGCCGTCCTCGGCGTTGCTTAATCTGAAATGTGGCTAACAAAAGAGACAAGGTGTACATGTTGTATATGTATCTGTCATCCATTTTTACTTTCCTTGATTTTTGCATATATGACACATGAATAGATGAGTAACTTGCATAGTTCATAAAATCTAAAGCCAAAAGATTAGCACAAGAAGTAGAAGGCATGAAAATATTGCAACTCAGTTTGCACATATAAGTGAAGCTCTTATTCATTTCAAAAGATTGACAATGTTCATCATTAAACCATCCCAACATTGGTGAATAAACCTTACTTGCATCAAATTTACATGCTGCAACATGCTTAAATAAGCAAACATGCAATAAGTCATTCAACACAGAATCATCACCAAGATTAGAGGTCATATCAAAATGATTAAACATTGGTTCTTTTGCATCAATAGTTAATTCAATGGGTGCACTCAAAATTGTTGGTATTTCAGTTGTTTGATCACATGGCAAAGTCAAATTATCAACGTAGTCCTCTAAAATAGGTGGTGTGATCAAAGTAGTGGGTAGCTCATCAGATGGTGCATTCAAATTGACAAGGCATTCATCATTCTCATGTAGAGATGGAAGATCAGTACCTTTGTCATTACCTCTGATGATCAACTCAGATGATGTAGCCACTCTCGGGGGCGATGTGTCACATGGTGGAGGTGATGTAGTCCTGACAACAACGGATGTGGTTGTCATAGTATGCCTAGTAGTTGAAGGAACAATCATATCAACTCTTGGAATGTGCACCGTGCGCTTGTTCTCCTCGTGGCCAACACGTCGTTTTATTTCCTGTTCAGCTTTGCAAGCAAGATGAAACAAATGGTCCATAGGATAACACTCTTCATGAATTAGTATCTCTTGAATATCACGGTTTAATCCTCCCCAAAATCTATCCATAAAATCATCTTCACTTTCTTCTAAAGAGGAATGCAACAAGGTAGTTTGTAAATCATCATAATATTTTGTTACAGTTTCACTACCTTGTTTTAAGTGTTGCAACTTCTTAATCATGTCACGAGTATAATAAGCAGGGACGAAAGTATGTCGCATGGCAAGTTTTCATCCCAAGTAGTAGGTATATAATCAGGGTGTAACCGACAATATTCACTCCACCAAACCAAAGCATAACCAGTGAAAGAACCAACCGCAATCTTAACCTTTTTATGTTCATCGAAATTATGGGAAGCAAATATATTTTTTATGTCGAACTCCCATTCAATATATAAAGCAGGTTTAAAACGGCCATTAAATGGTGGTATAGATACATTAACCTGATCATGTGCATTTGGATGTTTGTGCACCTCTCGTGACGGTTGTGGTATTTGCAAAGGTGGTGGCACGTCTCCCGCGATCGACAAAGCCCATGAATTGACTCTGGATCCTGTCATGATTAGTAGAACAAGAAACAAAACCCAAAAATAATGTTCCTATAACTACTAGGATGTGGTGGTAAAACGCTCACAGTAAAGCAAATATCAATGTCTTACAAGTTCTTACCATGCAGCAGGCGGTGATCGGCAACCAGCGGTGTCAACTAACTCCGAATATTGAGTAAAGCGATTGCCAGGGGAGCGTACGTATACACGGTGTAGAAATATGTGGAGCTGGGTTGGCTATATATGGTAGCAAAAGATTAGCAATAATCAATTCAAAGATGCAATGTTGAATAAACGCTCAATGACGGTACTGTGCTGGTCCTAGGCTAGACCGGACTAGAGACGCGAGCCTAGAACACTAATGAGGTCACGGCGTAGCACAACTAGCATCAATGAAGGATACTAAGTAGCTCTTGACAGCAAGATATAAGTGAAGATCACAACGGCAGTGAAGATAATGATGAAAAACAACTGCCAAGCAGGATATACAACAACTCTCTCTCCAACTTTCCTCTTGAAAAGTTTGAGACAATTTTTTTTGTTTTTTTTCTTCTCTCTTTTTTTTTCCTCACACTTTTTTTTTCTTTCTCTCCTTTTTTTTCTCTGACTTTTTTTTCCTTTTTTTTCTCTCGTTTTTTTTCTCTCTTTTTTTCTCCCTCTTTCCAAAACAAACTAGATAAGATGCAGATTGGATCAAGTGAAGATGTGAACGATCTCAACTATTATTATGACAATGAATGGTGGGTAGCACGTGGTGGAAATTGATGGATGGGTGGTTGACAGCGGAAGAGATAATGATGCAGCGGTGGTGTGACTAATGTGAACAGAACTCAAAACTCTAAACGAACTAGACACTAAGACCAGCAACTCGACACGACGATGCAACCGATAATTCAACTATGCAAGCAATGAAAAGAAAATTGCAAAGGCTCAGACTGGCTTGGACCAAGGATGAATAGATCTAACTCTTTTTTGTGGCTTTTTCTTGGACAATAGGTAAGAAAATAAATCTAATCTAGGAAAACTGGAAATTCTCACCGAGCAACCTGAAAACTGATACCACTTGATAGAGGCGGGGGTGTCCCGATCTTTCGATGAGATGATAACTATCGATTTGGTGAAGATGACTTTGACGATCCGACTACAAACGTGCACGACGTTGCGCCTTAGCAATCGCTAAACCAACTCCGAAAGGTTATTGACCACGCTGGAGCACGATCAACCTGACCACGAAGGTCTATTCCTGCAAGCAATCGAAGAACGAGCAAGAATATGATAAAGCAATCTGAATATTGCGAGTATATATGAAGTATTGATAAAGGTGGGGATCCGTAAGCGGTCTTGGTCTGGTCGTTGGACACAAACGAAATACACGAAGTTGCAATGGCTAACTTTTAACTAAACAAATCCCAAAGAAAAGCTACTAGATGGATCTACTTATATAGGAGCAAGGGGTGGCGGCCAAGGAGGTGGGAGGACGTCCCAAGGCAGCCTAAAACTAAATCTAGGTCGTACAAGGCCAATGGGCCCAAGTGGAGGTGATGTAACACCTTTGGACTTGTAGTTTGACTCGGATTCTGCTGCAGCATCAGATTGTTTCGTCCACAACTCAACGCTCCGGACGAATTTGAAGGTGATTCCAATTGGGTTGGAAAGTGCACGAAATCTAGTTTCCAACAAAAAAAGAATCACCCAATTCGGAGTCCGTACGAAAAACTTGTGTGCGATTTGAGTCAGGTGTGTCTGTGCAGTCCGAATCTGAATCCAGAACGTGAGAGACTTGGACTCTATCTTCTCTTGGGCCAAAAGTGACGTGAGAGAACTTTTTGGACAGCAAATAAACATCTCTTGCTTCCTTATCTTCATATGTGGATTGTACAAATGTCCCATACACCTGCAATTAGACAAAACACAAAAGTGTGTGAAGTATTTTTGTTCTGGATAACATAAATAGATTATTGAATAGTTTGCACTAGAAATCACCTGACAAATATGCATATATGCAATATTTTTGGTCATATCTAAGGTAGTCATGTCCTCATCAGTTCATGCTCCATAACAGAAGATATTTATAATTTTGTATTTTTAGATGTTACTCCCTGATTTCCCTTTTAATTTTATCATTTTACAGCGAGCTTCTTACTGGTGTTGTGCCTTACACTGATCTGCGAGCAGAAGCACAGGTTCATTTTTGTTGCTTGTTCAATAACTCCAGTGTTGTGGCTCATTTCATAAACAGCCATACTATGGACTATTTGTGTTTTGTATGATTGCTTTGGTATTCTATCAAATTAGTTTTTTTGTTTTTGTTTTAATGATTTCTTCCTAATCTAACATTTAAAAGGCCAGCCAGTATAGAACTCTTAAATGGAGTAATCACATGGTAGATCCCTAAACTTGTGGTTTGGTCAAGTAAGTCCATAAACATGTAAATTGCACATTTTCACCCAACAGCTTGTTTATGTGGTTCGTCACAGTTCTGAAGCTTGCGGCCTGGCTAGTTTTGCTTGACTGGCAGGTTGATCCCATTTGGCATGGAGTTCACGTGCATTGCACATGCATCAGGCGAAGATCAATTAGTTCCATCCATCTTGAAAATCGAACTCTGGTGAAGATCCCATTCGGCGTGGAGTTCACGTGCATTGCACATGCATCAGCCGAAGATCAATTAGTTCCATCCATCTTGAAAATTGAACTCTGGTGAAGCTGACTTCTCCATTAGTCACCCTTCCCTTCCACACGAAAACTAAGTATTAGCTAGCTTTTCCCACAACCCGCTTTGATTTGATCCAGGACTGGGCAAGTTCAGCATGCAATATACACAAAGGTTAGGTAGGCTTGGCTGCTTTTTAATCTGCGGTGAACAACTGAAAGAAGTTGCTGGGTGAAAATGCATTGATGGGCTCAGATACAGATATGTGATATAAAATGCACATATCCATATGAGTTACTTGACCACATCATGCTAGTCTCTAGACCCACATCATAATTATAGTTACCTATGGCTAGCTAAGCTGAGCATTTTATGTTCTCTGCAAATAACAGCTCGCTCTATCTTTCTTTAGGCACACACCATTCTTGAAATGACTTACACTGAACAGCAACTTACATCAGCTGTTGTTTCTCAAGGATTGCGCCCTGCTCTGGCCCTTCCAGAGTCTGGCTCTCCACCAAGTCTCTTGTCACTTATTCAGTGCAGCTGGGATTCTGATCCTGAACGAAGACCATCATTTGGAGATATAATTGAAGAGTTAAATGTAATACAGAAGCATTTAGTTACATATTCTTGCCCTCTATCATCTGGTTCAGTGAACTTGAGTCGAAACAGGAAGGCAGAAGTACACCATTATCAAGAAGCATTAAACTGGTTTAACCAAGGGGAACTGTTAACAAAGAAAGCAAACAAATTAGACTACGCATTGAATCCTTGGTCTAGTTCATTTGATCAGTCCTCTGTCTCTGTGTATCGTCCAACTTTGAGCTGGGGATCTTTTGCAACATGTGGACGAAGAGAAACAATGGAAGATACTCATTTTATGCTTACCTGCATGTCTAAAGAAAAAGACGTGCATTCCTTTGGCATTTTTGATGGACACAGAGGTTCAGTGTTTCTTAAGTCTACGTTTTGATTTTTACCAGGTTTGCATTAGCATACATTACACAATATTCTTACAGGTGCGGCAGCTGCTGAGTTTTCTGTCCGAGCAGTTCCTGGATTTCTCAAGCAATTTGGACACACTGCCAGGTTCGGGTTGAATACAAACTATCTATTTTTTTCCCAAGAGAGTGCATATTTCAACCCCCAACTCTTGCCCTAGTCTAATTTAAAACCTCTAACTCCAATACCGCGTCTACATTACAGCCCCCAACTCTTAAAACCGACCAGGATTCAACCCTCCCCTCCCCATTGACCATCCAGCCAGCAAACCACATCAGCAAAAAATTAAAATTTCCAGAAAAAACCGGTAAAAATAAAAGCACCCAGGGAAAATGGGAAAAATCTATAAATAAAAAAACTGGAAAAAACAAAAAAATTGTAAAATAAAAATAAAAAAGTAAGAACCCATTTTTTGCAGAATTTTCTGCCCAAATTTAGTCAAAAAAAATTTTTCCCAGAAAAAAATTCTATTAAATCAAGAAAACAATACTAAGCATCTTGAAAAGGTTGTGATTTTTTTTGATTTCACAGATTTTTCAGAATACAGCCCTGATTTTTTTTCCAGTTTTTTAAACTTTTTTCCTGGATTTTTTTTGATTTTGTTTGGAAATTTTGAACTTTTTTTGCTAACTGGATGGTCAAGGGGTCAAAACCGGTCAACAGGGAGGGGAGGGTTGAATCCTGGCCGGTTTTAAGATTTCGGGGTTGTAATGTAGACGATATTGGAGTTGGGGGTTGTAAATTAGACTAGGGCAAGTGTCGGGGGTTTAAATATGCACTTCTCTCTTTTTTTTCTGTTCTTAATTTTCATGGATTTGTTGTTCTGTGTAGCCCGATTGATGCCCTTGCAGAAGCATTTGTAAGGAGTGACACAGCATTTAGAGAAGAGTTAATTGCTCACCGGAAGTCAAAAAGGATAATCCAGAAAGACTGGCATCCTGGTTGCACGGCAGTGACAGCATTGATAGTGAGAAACAAACTTTTTGTAGCAAATGCTGGTGATTGCCGAGCAATTCTCAGCCGTGCTGGCAAACCATTTCCTGTGACTAGGGTTGGCATCAATTCTCTTTTCTTTTCTCATAGTACAAATTAGTATATAATGCAATTTCCTTTTTATTTTGTTTTGATAGGATCATGTTGCTAGTTGCCCCAAGGAAAGAGAGCGTGTTATAAAGGAAGGGGCTGAAGTCAGATGGCAAATAGATACGTGGCGAGTCGGTGCAGCTGCTCTTCAGGTGCTCACTTTGTTTTGCTTTTTCTCACACATGTACCGACTTGAGCACACTGAACTGATCAACCTTTTGCATTTAGCAACAAATATCTTACTGTTTCTTAAAAAAAACATCATGTTTCTGTGGTATGTACTACATTGCAGAAACACCTATTAAAACACATCTAAAGTTAATTTCCACTTTGGAGGTATACTTAAGTGTTCTGTGAGATCCGACATATAACATGATTAAGGAAAGGAACAAATCTTAATCTAATGCATGTTGAGTTCTAACTAACACGGCATCTGCAGCTACAGGGTTAATTTTTTTGTCGAGATTCAAGATTATAGCTATCATGTCATATCCGTACATCCCAATAGGAGGCCACCAAGGGGCAAGGCAATAGTTACTTAATTACTATTGTCTCTATGATTTGAATGATTAGTTCCTTTTCTTAGGTTTAATTTTAGCCATCCCTATAAAATAGATTGCATTCATATCTTATCATGAAGCAGAGACTAAATAAATCAATTTCCCTCTAAAGAAAAAACCTATCTCCCAGTTTTTTTCCTGCCTGCCTTTGGCATGTGGCTTCCATCGAGCCCTTCGCCTCTTCGGGCCAGGGTCCACCTCGAGCAGGCCTAGCGCCATTAGCACACAATGACTGGTTTAGGTCTTCAGGAAAACTAGTCCAGTACTCTGTTTGGTTAAGAAGGGTGGTGAGGATTATCCGCATCGATACGTGGGAGCCACATAGGATTAAAGGGAAGGTTTTGAAAGTTTGAGGTTCGTTTTAGACTATTTTGAAGGTTAAGAACGCGGAGTGTACTGGGGTCTGGGGGTACCCACCCAGAAACTAGAAATTTTGAAAAGCATATTCAAATATGTTTTTAATTTATGCACTGGAAATCAAGGAGCCCCAGTTTATGGCAAATGCATAGATATATTGCGAGATTAGTAACTTAATCTAGCTCCCACATAAGTTGAGATTAAGCTTTTTTGTTTGTCAATTAATTTGAAGGAAACGTTCAATGGTAAACGGTCAATGTATGATGGCCCCACCTATTTCTGTTTATACTTTATTTATGTTGTAAATAGCCTCTTGGACTGTTTAGCACTTCAAAGTCAGATAATTACATACATATTCATACAGTAAGAAATCCCAGCAATCTGTCCGTGGCAGCAGCAAAACTGGGAAGATTGACTATATATATGCTTGCTGAATGCTTCACACTAGATGTCCTGTGCTATAATTTGTGATGAAGAACATAAATATCTACTTCAAAACGGTCCTATTGAATGTTTAAGACCCAGTTATATAAATACACCTTTACTTCGCTTATAAAACCTTTGAATCCAATTTGACATAACAGATGAGCTACCTTACCTTGCAAACTTCTTCCTACAAAAGCTTTTCCAGCTGTAACTTAGGTGTAGTTCAAAGTAAAGCATGCTCCTATTGGAAATGTACGCAGTTTCTCTTACATTTTCTCATCTTCTATTTCCAGTAGTTATGCATCACCTAGATCTTCACATTCAACATGGAAAGTATGTTTGAAGATTTCTTTACGGATGCAGAACTCGCCTGATGTAGATTATTCTACTCTATTTATTTATTTTTTGAGAAAATGCAAAAGCCTTGCATCTTGATGCATTGATAGAAAGAAGAGTTTGTGCAAGCACTAAGAAGGGCAACACCGGGTGAATTACAACATGACACCTGTAATCACTAGACACCGCCCTCGCCGGGAGCAAAGCCACCAGACCCCTCGCCCCGCTGTCACCCATTGATGGCTTCCATCTTGATCGTGTCAAATAGATGAGCTAAGCTGAGTTGACCGTCGTCAAAGATGATTGCGCTGCGATGCTCCCAGATGCACCAAGTGACCAAGATTATGGAAGGAGAAAGAATAGGAGGTTAGGAGTGTTGGAATAACAACTTGATCATATTATCATGAGGCAAAAGCCATCATATATACATGTACAGAGGAGGCCAAAGGGCAGAACGCATGTACAGAGGAGGCCAAAGGCCAGAATGCAAAAGGCCAAAGGCCATCATAAATATAACTGTAACACCCCCCCCCCCCTCAAACTCATGGTGGATCCACAACACTTAGTTTGGAGAGGTGAAATCTATGTTGCGCTCTAGTCTGGGCCTTCGTGAAGAAGTCTGCTAGCTGTAACTCAGAGGGCACATACTGAAGAGCAATAACAGATCCTGCATAGCAGCGCGCACATAAGAAGCATCAACACCGATATGCTTGGTAAGCTCATGCTTCACGGGGTCCCGTGCAATACTGATAGCACCTGTACTGTCGGACAAGAGGGTGGTCGGTGTAGTAACAGAAACACCAAAATCCTCCAGTAACCATCGTAATCAAGTCACCTCCGTCGTCAGAAGAGCCATAGCTCTCAACTCGGCCTCTGCGCTCGAACAGGAAACTGCAGTCCGTTTCTTCGTCTTCCAGGCAATAAGAGAACCACCAAGAAAGACACAATGAGCAGAAAGTGAACGGCGATCCGAAGGATCACTAGCCCACGCACTAGCCCACGTAGCATCCGAATAGGCCTGGAGCTGTAACGAACTGGAACGGGGAAAAAGACGATGAGAGATCGTGCCAGGAAGATATCGTAGAACACGAAGGTGTCTATAATGAACTGAAGTGGGAGCGGAAACAAACTGACTCAGAATATATGGACAAAATAGGAGATATCCGGACGAGTGACAACAAGATAGACAAGACTCCCAACAAGATGACGATAATGCGTCGGATCAGACAAGAGCTCACCATCAGAAGAGCGGAGGTTAACATTGAGCTCCATAGGAGTCTCAACAGTGCGTTCATCACTAAGAGCCGCACAAACAAGATCCTGGAGATACTTTTCTTGGGAAATAAAAAAGCCATCAGAGGTGGAGGAAACCTCAGTCCCAAGAAAGTAACGAAGAGGACCAAGATCAGCATGTTAGAATAAATCCGAGACGTGTCGTCGATCATTTGAGGACCAAGCAATCACACGAGCACGACATCGAGATTTGTTAACGAGGTTCACGATATGGCTACATCCCTGGGGCCTGACTATGGGCGCTCCGCCCCATGACATCGCTACAATACCGCACCCGGTCGCCTTGGACGCCGGTGCCTTGGACGTCAGCACATGCCGCCGGCTTCTCCTGCGTTCCTGTGCTATTATGTTGGCATAGGTTACATCGTGTGTCTACCCCGCTATATATGAGAGGCTTAGGATACAAGTGTCCTACTAGGACACTGACTCCATATCCTATCTAAACACAATACAACTACAAGTCTGACTGTAACCTACCTTGTACACTATATTCGACACAATTCTAACAAACTCCACCTTGGTGAATATTCTCCACCACCTTGAATTCGTCAATGCGTCAAACTTTCATGTACATTGGACTTGAGCTTATCCCATGAGTACGGCTGCTACTCCAAAGACTCCATATGACTCCACCTGCAACTTGTAGTCCCTTCTTTTCTTGATCACAGTCAATGCTCGAGCAAAATTAAGTTCCTCTTTACTCTAGTCTGTGCTCCTAACTTCCAGAGTATCCGTCCAACGCCATCACACACTGATCACTGACCTGCGTGAAAGTGAACAACTCACATATTGGGTGTCACACATAAGAGTTACCTGAACTCAACATCACTTCTCTTCCTTGACCGCCTGTCTGAAACTTGAAGGAATTTCACCATTGCTTGTAGTCATCTCGAGCCAAATTCGCAGTTGTCTCACCACATGTATGACCACCAGAGCCCTGGCCCGTCTCCATGCCATGCATACCGCACGCCTCACCGCTATTACCGCGTCAAGCCTCCACTGTCCTGGTCGAGTCTCAAGGGTCGCGAACCCACATGACTCAACCCCACTGCAGAATGCCACCGATCATCGCTGACCGATGACGCGTTTCACACTTCCGTTAGACCAGTAGGCTCCAGTCCAAACTACGTGCCTCTTGCTTTTTTCCTGCCTGAATAGGCTTCGATTCTCTAGATCTTTTACACCGTAGCCCCTCAATCCAGCTCCACCTTCAACATGACTCCATGGTAGATGATCAGTCCACCCTTGCGCTCCGTCGACTTCAAGCTCTCATGTGCGCACCGTCTTGAATCAACCCCGCGCCATAGTCTTGTCGAAGCCGCACAAGCCCTCGGGCCCGCGCCACGTGTTTCCATGCCCAGAAGACGGTCACCATCAGCTTCACACTCCTATGTCGTTGTCGCGATCCCACCACCGTCTTCTGTACCAACGAACTTGCGTCGATCCATCAGACTGTCTAGTCCGGCCCAAGCTCCCAAATCATTCTGTGAATTTCCATCCATCACATGATAATTCCATCTTAACTGACATGACTTCCCGCAACGTCTTCAAGCATCCCTATTGTGCCAACAAAATTTTCCACCTTTGTCTGCCATAACCCAAGGTTTTCAATTCCTTGAACTTCACCTCAAACATGGTACCCGTTGGCGCCCTGGTTCTTCGTACGACTGACCCTGCGAAAAAATTAACTGAGCTCTCCTCACGTGATGTCCAAGTACATCGAGTACACTAGTAGTTGCATATTCAAAAGAATCTTGTTGGTCTTCACGTCATTACTGGCTCAATGCCCGATGCTTGCTTTGCCTTTTCTTCGTCCTTGCCTTTCCAATGGATGCGTATCAATCAATGGATTTCATCTGCTGATTTTATCTGACTGCCTCGTGCCTTTGTCTCTCTTATCGGCTGCTATCGCTGCTACCTGCGCGCAGGTCTCCGTCTAACAGAGACGAGGAGAACACGACTCCTCCTGGGACTCGGTCCCTTTTGTTTCGAAAACAAATCTCGTGACTCACACATCTGGCTTCCAGCGTATTCAGCTAAAAGCATCCCGTCCATGGCCCGCACAGCGTACCAAGTGCACAGCTCCACAGGGTCGCGTGCCTCACGCGCAACTGCCTGACCACCCAGATCGAATCGATCTGCCCTAGCCGCTGATTGCACAATCACTATCGCCGCCACAT